TTATTACAACTTTTAAATCCAACAAGTTATGCAACTGGCAATAAGAACATTCTACCATTCTATGGGGAATTCTTGAAAAAAATTTAACTTTAAATTTCACATTGAATGGAAAAATCATACAACAGATCTAAAAAAAAAGGGTCTGTTGGAGAAGATTTCATAAGTTATAAATTAAAAAAAGTTTCTTGTTACTTTATTAAAAGTTAGAAACTCACTATGCATCCACCTTCCATCTTCATGGAAAAACACTGCTTACACAACTTATTTGTTTTTTTTCCAATCCTTATGTATTCAAAATGCTTTGAATCTTTTTTTGTGTTTTTTTTTTATTTTTCTTTATAAATCTGAATTCAAATAAAACGTGTCTCTGAAATGCAGTGTCTATTCAAGCACAGCTTTCCCTTTTCTGAAGTTCTGTTGAGAATGTTGTGCACTATGGAAGGGATTTGAACATGGCCACAAGCAGGAGTGACCTTTGACCCCCTCATACCAGGGAGTTATAGGACTAGGAACCGAGGCTAACATGGCTGAAATAAAGCCACTGACACACACAAACAAACACATGCAGGCTCAATACTCTGGGATTAGATCTGGAAGCAACACCCACTCCATACCATTCCTGTCCCATATAAAACGTCTTGTCTAGAAGACGAAAATCTGGATTTTGAACTTTGCACTGCATGCATTCAAGATTCAGCTTGTTTCATATTAATTAGTTTGTCAGTGTGTTGCTCTACTTCTAAGCTGACAGATACTCTCACCTATGAGCCTATTTGTCAAGAATTGGATGGGTGAAAACCACAGCCTCTCTGCTTGCTGCAGGGCAATGGGGATGAGAGACATAAAGTGTCAGGAGCAGATCTGAGTGGATGAGCCTCCTTTTCTTAATTTGCTCTTAAAGTGAGTCTCTTTAAGTAAGCAGCATGGAAATATAATAGGACTCTGTTGTGTCATCTAGGTGATACAATTTCAACCAACAGCTGTCAATCTCTGGGGTGTTCATTGATTGGCAGTCAGGTGGTAAATCTAAATGAACTCCGGCATTTAAACACAGTTATGCAAATATCTGTATTTTTTCAGACAAAAACAGCTTTTTGTACCCTTGCATGTTTCTGCCCAGCTGTTGCTTTATTTCTTCCAGTTACAAAAAGTCATACATTTATTTTCACTTTCCATCAAATAACATATTGAAATTCAGATTCACGAAGCCTTACCTCTCAGAATTTCCTTTGCATGCTGTATATATTATGTATCTTGATCAATTACAGATATTTTTTTTATTTTAACTCTAACATAAGAAGGTAGAAAAAAAGGATTTGTTTTTCAAGTTCCTCCAACAAACAAAAATCTGTATTTTTAAATTTGGTTTCATCTGATTGTCAGGTTGAATGACTGTTAGACTGAATTGCTTAAAACAAAAAATAATTAATTTATTGTGTTAAGCTATGGTCATATCAAAAAAGAAAGACATGGAAAAAAATCCTGAGACTTTATTGACCAGTAGAGCTGGTTTGGTATCTGATTTACCAGAATGTCCCCTGGGATCAAACACTTATCACCCCTGAGAGTTACTGTTAAAGTCTGATGCATTTAATAAATTTTAGACTAAGATATTTCTATATCTCAAGGCCTCCCATCAGGGTGCAAGTTAAACATTAAACACATTACACTGAAGACCAAATGAGGAGTGATATGGTCACATTCAGAAACAAAAAACAACAGTCAGGATCATGTGAGGAATAAAATGCAGCTGGTTGGACAACATCAATCAATAAATGTTTGTCCTTATAAGGTAACTATAGAAAATTCACACAAACACCTTTATAATGAAGCTCAGGATTTAGTGACCTGTCATATTTTATCACATGTTTATTACATGTTTATCTGAATTAACTGAATTGAGTATAGTGATACTGACAACATTATGCTTCTCTAGATAATAAAACCCAGGATACCAACAGCGGAACAACAAGATAATAAAACTTTAAATTGATGTCATATAGGTCAACTTACTGTTCCAGGATTAAAAGTTTTGCTTTTAAAAGACTGCTTTTGCTAAACACTGAGCTAAAATCCATATTTTTAGTTCATTTTGCTCTTTTTATAGATGGTCCAAACATGATCTGTTTCATTTTCTTCAATATCAGCAAATCTTTGTGAGAAATTTCCCCCATGATTTTTAGGCTTATTTAATTTCCTTTTTAGGGAAATGTTTCATCTGTGATGTTCATTTTTTTTACTGCATTTGTTTAATTTTTTTTTCTTCATTCATTTTATTAACCTGTTATAAAATGATCTGAGGATATCACAGATGTTTTTACTCTGTCTTGAAAGGAGTTGCTCATATCCTACAGTCAAGGTATATCTGATGTTAAGCTGTTGAAACAATCTGGCTGGATTAAATGAATCAGCCAAAATTGAAATTGTGTTCTTCTTTGAATATCATTCATTTTATTTTATTTTATTTCTGTTTGTTGTATATCTATTCACGTTATTCTAATATAGTGGGGAATATTTCATAGTTCCTAAGCACACTTTAAACTAGGTTATAATGGGTTACTTTGTTATGGTTCCCTAAAGTGTGTTGAATAGAAGTCAATATAGGATTAACATGAAAGTATTTCTCTTGAAAATGTTGATTAGAATCTGACTGAAATAGATAAAGATTATTTAATTAAGGGTGATGATTTTGTTGTCCGTAGTTATTTGTTAGAAATGCTGAGAAATGTTGAACCTGTTGAAACTTGCCTATAACCCCCATCATTTTGTCATTTCAGTTTGTTGTTTCTAAAACATAGAAAGAAGTTCTTTTATTTTCCATCTCTTATTCGGGTTTTATTCCTGCAATTTTCTGAACAGAATAACATGAATCCATGGGCTTTTTCCCCCCAACCGCTTAATAAAACAATAATTATGATTTTCTGTCTTTGACCCTCCGCAGCCACCCGGTTCCAGACGACCTATTTTCCGCAGTGTTCCCGGCGGAGGCGCAGTCTGAGGGCGCTTACATAATTGCCTTGCGCATGATCTTGGCGCCCTCCTTTACGCGGCTGCGCCTCGGCGCAAAACCAGCAGCTGCTTTCTGAATATTTCGTTGATTTGATTGCGAGTTAATTGCATCACCCCGCGCGCGCATCGAACCAAAGCGCACGCGCGTAACGAACGAGAATAAGTCGTCCGAGTCCTCGAAATGGCTTTTTACGTACATTTGAGAGAAAGAAACAGATTTTATTGATGTTTGAAGGGTGGGTTGGAAAAATTCTTCTCAACGTGAGATCCGGGAAACACCGGGGGTCCTTGGATTGACTCCAGGGGGGGTTCCGCAGCATTTTCCCCTTCTGTTCAAAATAAACTGATATTTTAATCTTTTCTGCTTGGATCGAAAGAGTTAAAACGCAACATTTTCATATTTAAATCGTTTATTGACTCGTGCATGATCACATGTAAAAATCGCTTTAAGAAGCCATTCAGTTTTTGAAACGCAAACCAGATTTAGGCGCATATAACTCCATTATCGGTGTTTTTTAAAAAATATATGGACACACAATAAGAGCTGAAAGACGCAACGAAACGAAATTGCAAGAAATATGCTGCAGTATAAAACGAAGGGAGTGAGAAAATGTGTTTGATTCCCTTGTTGTACCCCTTTCAGTCTGAGGAGAGAGATGTTACGGTCTATCAGCGCCCCCTGTCGCCCTGCGGCACATGGAAAAATATCTCTTAAAGGGGATGTCTAAAAGCCGGAAGAGCTTTTTAAGGTGGAACGGTGGAGATATCCCTGCGGTTTCTCTTTAGCAAAGGGGGGGCAGGACACGACTAATTCATACTCTTCCAAGCACAACTCGTGGGTTTTATGCGCAAGAAAGAAAATAAGGCTTTATTAAAGCTTTCCCAAATTTAGGCGGTGAAATGTAAATACTGGTGACATTTTTCTCTCCATTTTTAGTTTAATAAGGAGCCTTTTTGAATAACTAACATAGGATCGGATGAATACTACAGAGCAATGGGGAATAGAAATACAGTAACTTATATTTCACTCTGGTGAAAGTGATAAATTAGAAGAGTCAAGAATGAAAACACAACCACATTTTTAGATGCACATTAAAGTCAAAGCCATGCGTCACTCCGTTTTCTGTTGTCAGACCTCGTCCTTTAAGGGAGCTGCAGACACCCTTTTTAAAGTTTCACAAAAAACTTTCGCCTTGTGCTTTCAAGTTTCCTAACTGTAGAGAAATGAACCCCGTGCTGCGTTTACCGACATGCAAAGATAAGTAAAAGAGGGTGGAAGTGTTTACAACAAAACTGGAACCAAGGGCTTTGTTAAACTAAGAATGTTTTTCCTGTTTTTTATTTTATTTATGGAGCTTGTGAAAAATCTTTTAGAGATATGAGTTCATATTGACTTATATTATTTTCTAAGAGCCAAAACAGCAAACAGTTCAGGTGTCAGTAAAGCTCACCTACTGTTTGATTAAAACAGCTAGATGGCTTCATTCCTTGATGAGGCCATTTCATGTTAAATATGGGCAGATCTTAGGAGCAGGTTAGTTTATACAAATGTCATTTTGATCAATAAAAGTCACCACTTTCCACACAAGAGGATAACAATCATGAGATGCATTCATGCTGTACTATTAAATCTGGTCGCAAAAAAGAGCTTTATGAAATTTTTGAGGAATTAAACAGATTAATTGTCCCACAGAGTTCCATCAACTCTAAATATATATATTTTAATGTGTGCTGTTTGACCCCAGTGATTGCTGTTAAACAATCCCTCAGCTCTTCTTCCAGAGGTCACCCCCTCCTCTGCAAGGTTTTCATTATTTGCATACAGTCGCCTCCGCTTTGTTTTAGTTTTTTTTTTTTTTTTTTTTTTTTTTTTTTTTTTTTTACTCTGGTCCTGTATAAAGCTCTGCAGCGCAGCCAGTCCTCCTCATTTGATCCCGGCCATGCAGCAGAGCTGTTGGCTCTCCCTTTCGGCCTTTTAATCCGGACCAGAGATGCTCATCGCTCATCTTCACGCACTAATCGTCGCTCTGCTCTGCGTTCACTCTGCATCCTCCTCGCCTCCGGGTCATGCGGTATCTGTGCGGTTCGCCCGGTGCGTTAACAGCTCCCTACAGGATTATACACCCACGGGTGTCCGTGACCTTGACCCGAAAAGCTGCGTGTGTGAGGGGTGAGCTGGAGCTATTTTTTCTTGGATTAAGGAGGTTAAGGAGATATTTTGCAAATGGAACAAGACAATTTACACTTAAAATAAGAAAACACAATTGCATTGTCCTATTTCAGGTAGCTATATATTGTCGAATTATCTTATTTTAAGAGCAAAAATACTCATTCCATTGGCAAACTATCTCATTTACCTACTCAAATTCAAGGTAAATACACTTAATTTAGGACATTTTTACTTATTTCTAGATCGTTTTTCCAGTGAAAGTTAGGAATGTGTTGGAAATCAAATGGTGCTGCAAAAAGCAAATAAAATAATAATAATAATAAAAAAACAAACTAAAATTTGCATGATGCACTAGATTCAATCAAGGAAGATGAGTTGCAATTTGTATTTATTTATTTTTTTAGTAGATTTTTTAAATTATTATATTTTATGGGGAAAATGTGTTCATTAACCTATTGTTACTTGAATAAATTACTCAGATTACATCTAGTATTTATCCTTTGCAAAGCTTAGATCATTATGTTAGAAAGAAAAACTACTTAGAAAGGCTTTTTGATTAGAACTCACTCTGTATTGGCAGAATAAGTAAACCCACTGAATAAAACTCTTTCAATTCTCATCTAAAATTGTGATGTTTCCACCTTTTCTCTCACAACTACCCTCTAACCCTTGTCCTCCAACATCCTCTTGGTGTAAAGAAGCTTTAAAGTAGCATTGCTTGCTACTTTAAATTTGATATTTGCTCTTTGACTAAAGTAGCCAAAGTTAGACGGAAACTTGAGTTATTGCTTCAGTACAACAGTAAAAAAACAAACAAACAAAAAACACTTTCTCTTTATTCACAATGAAAATAAAATAAACTCTGCAACCTTAATGTTCTAAGGACAATGGACCACAAGTCAAAAAAAGTTGCCTCATTTATAAGTTCAGTTAGTTGCAAACAAAAATGCCACTTAACTACCCTAGCTAATGTTATAAGAGCAGCCTTAAAAACACAAGTATCTCATATCAACAACCAATACACTTGATTAAGATGTACATAATTTAAAATAGAATATTACATTTTTCTTCTGGTTTAGTAAACCAATTGTTACTTTTGCCCAAAAACACTTTTTTTTTTTTTTTACTTTTTTCCCCCTGAATATATATCTATATTAAGTCATAATGCTCTTTAACTTTTATAAAATCTTTTATTTTTTATAATTAGCTCATGGAAAGATAACATGGTTTTCTTCACAAAATTGAAGAGTAAAGCTCAATTGTTAATCTGCAATCAAGAAATGTATAATATGAACCTTCTTTTGTTTCAAAACCATTACATATATGTTGGAAACAAAATGTAAAGAGAAAAATCTTTAATCATTATCCTCTTTTTGTTGGAAGCATGCGCTATAAAGATTGGATGTCATTACATATTAGCTAATAATATATTTAAAACTGTAATCAAACAAAAAAAATAGCAAATGTGATCTTAAGTTTTCTTTCGAATAAAACATGAAATACTTTATTTTGGTCATTCATGTTTGTTCAGTCAACTCTTAGCGGTTCTGTTTCCCAGCTTAATTTTTAAACCAATCTGACTGTATGATTTGTGTGTTGAGATGACGTGTTGTGAAAAGGCGCTATATAAATAAACTGAATTGAATTGAAGAATTAAATAGATAAAATATCTTAGAAAAAGCTGACAAATGATATGCGGTTAAGAATGATTCAGTATTAGATAAAATAATAATTCCAGCTAGATAGCTTAGATATGACCACCAAGGAAAATAATTCACATTCTTAATTTATTCACATTTTTTCACTTCATCACACATTTAGCTTATGTTTTCTTTTTAACATAGCAACCTAATGATGATCAAATTGTTGGAATTAAATAATTTATTTAACCACGTGTCATCTGTTTAGCTACAGTTTATTTTTTTATAACCATAAGTTAAAATCTACCAGGATAAAATGATAAATACACTAATTCTGTTGGCTAAATTCTTGTTTTATCAGCTGACTTATAAAACAAAAGTCACAGTGGTTTTTGTTGCAATCTGTGCCGATCATTGTTTTTGTTTTTGTTCAAGGTGCCAGTTTGTATTGTCTTCTGAGACTTGTTCCTGTGGGAACCAGCTGCACGCTCTGGTGGTCAGCGCTTGTTTTAACTCCTCTGTCACAGAGGAGACAAAAGATGTGAAAGAAGGAAGCAAAAATCAAAGGTGAGAAACAGCTCTGTCTTTTAGGGGTCTTGGGTTTCATTATCTGATCCTTCAAAGCTAAATGTTTCAACACTTTGTCAGCCGCCTGTGTTTGACAAATTTCTTTCTATTCCAGATCCTTTTATTATCTGTCTATAGGAAAAGTTGGGAATGGATCTGAAGGGTCTGTGGAAATCTACAGAGGCAAAACACCATTTTGTCTTTATTTGAGGGTGTCAGCCTGTCCTGGGAGAGTAAGAGAAGGGAAGACGTTTGGGGAGAAATTCTCTGGAAATCTGTCTGCATGCTGGAAGCAGACCGAAGGTTGGATCTTAGGGTGATATACTGAGCTACACATAAATTCTCCTGTGTTAAAACAACTTTATTTCTAAATATTATGATTATTATTTGAATTTTATTCATTGATATAGATTTTTGTATATATCTGAATTTTTCTTTTCCATTCTTTAACTTCCTCAGCAATACATTATTTTGGCTAACTTTTGTCATTTAAATTGTTTGTCTCATAGATTTTATTTAAAGTACTCCAAATGAGCTGAGAAAACATTTATATGATAAATTATTAGCGACATGTCACATCAGGTTTTGGTATTTAAACTCAAATGCTGCTTTAGTTTAAACTTAATTTCTACTGAGTATTCGAGAGACACATAAACTCTGTCAAATGTAATTCCCTGAAAAATAAAATCGAATAAACATGTTTTTTTCCCCACTTCAACTTTAAATGATATAACTCAGCCACGTATATTTAAATCTTAAGCAACTTTTCAGTCAAATGAAACCCATACTATTTTTGCAAAGGTTAAAGTCAAAGTATGATATGTAATAGAAAATAAATATCCTTTATTTGCAACCAGAGGAATGTTGGTGTGCCAGCGGCAAATTCAAAAGCAAATGAAGGCATGCAGATACACTAAGAGATGAAAAATATTACAACAAAAAAAGAAGAGATTTTGAGGAAGGGCAAATTCACAACATAAGAAAAAAATACTGTACAAATAATGACATGTAAAGAAATCACAAAATATCCTAAACTTAATCAAAAGTGGAAAACGTAGAACTGAGAAAATGCATTTGTACCCAGCTTAACCGTATCATTATTTAATAGAAGAGAACTTGTGTTTTATCATTCATTATTAATCTGATTATTTAAATAAAAAATATCTTGAAGCTGCCCTGCAGTTCTTTAAGACTTTGCTTCTTAGGAGAAGGTCTGTTCATTTATTTATTATTCAAAAATGATTCAAGGTCATGGCAGAAATATTTCAGCAATTTTTAAGAAAATGTGTAAACTAAGAGAAAATAAATCTCTGTAATATATGTTAATTTCCTGACCAGTGCTTTTAGAGGGCAATTGTATTATGTCAACATTGACCTTTTTTGGAAAAAACTTAGCAAAGGTCAAAGTTCACATCATGTGACAGATGATTGGTCCTTCTGTGTGTTTTTATTTCGTGTTGAAAACTCACAGAAAGTGATAGTTTGTGGTGATGCTCATTGTATTCAGCTGGTTTTCCATCTTTCTCTCAGATATGCCTGTTTGCAGCTCTGTCTCCACTATCCAGCTGATCTGCTCTCGCAGCTTGATGATCTATTTTCTCCAAGGCCCCCGAGGCACGCCCCCCTGCTGTCCTTCCCCACATTTAGGCTCCAGCAAAGAGCATGTTGAGGATGTGACTGTCACCCTGGATTTAGAAATGAAGGAAGGAGTGAATGTAGTTTCCTTTCCAGGGATAAGACATAAACAGCGAGAGAAAATGATGGAGGATGTGGAGGAGGATTGTCCTTCAAGCTCTGAGCTCCTGAAATTTACTTTGGTAAGTCAAGATGAACACGCCAGATTAAATAGTAATAAGCAATTTACAGAATTAGATGAGTGAAAGTATATTTTCTGAAATATTTAGCTTTTTTCTTGCTAGTGAAGAGTAAATATGCAGATTTTTTTCCAAAGTAAATCAGTTAATTGTAAGCTTGCGCTTATTTTGTGTCAGGACTGTCCATCTGACACGCAGAGTTGTGTTTCGATGTTTTGTTTTAGCTCAATTTTAGCATTCATTTATAGTCATAAATTATTAACTTATTGGATAAAATTAAGACATTATTATTATTTAAATAAATGTTTAGTGTGGTCCTACACCACAGATCAATCTTAAGAATAAAAAGAATATATATACATATAAACAAACAAATGAATACAAAAAACTAAATTAACATATTCTATTAAGCTTATTGAAAATTGTTCAAATTTACTTTGCTAAACATACATAGCTGTTTTTTTTAGCATCAGTTTTACATAAAGCTTTAAAAATATATTTTAAAAGTTATATCGCCATGCCAACCCTCTGAAATTAATGCGTGTCTATGTCTAATTTAAATCAATTTTACAGTTGTTATTTTATTAGTAAAACGTAACAAAAATGATTGCTTTGAGAGACACCAGTGGACAATACCACTGGTAACCATGTTACCTAAAATAAAATAGGAAACAAAACAGATAAAATAAATTGTGTTCCCCCATATCATCATGATTATATTTTGTATATAAAAAGACAGGTAAAAAGTTTCTTTAACATAAATCAAGCAACCATATTTTAAAAAAATAAATTCAGACTTTCACTCACCATAAGTAATCTGTTTCCTGTAGATGGACAGAGGATACATACTCTGTTTGTATTAATAAAATCAGAATTTGATTAAAATAAGATTAAAATTCTCATTTGAGTCTCATGTGGAGAAAGTAGAATAACTCACAAGAATGAAATTCAGTGAATTTCCGTTTCTGTTATTTTTATAGAATAAAATTTAAGTTACTACATCCTATTTTGTTTAATCAAAAATCAGCTTAGTCTGCTTGTATAGCAATCCAAGTGTAAAATCAGCTTCATGCACAAAGGTTTCACCTTAGGCCCCCAAAGCAATGATGAAATTCTTAAATAAAATTTCTGAACCAATAAAGAACCCCGAATGGTTTCATTCCCATTGTGTTTAGGTTAAAATCTCATTGCATGCAGTCTTAAACAGTTTAGACAGAATAAATAATTCTGCAAAATACAGTATTGTCCAAATCAAGTTGAAAACAGTTTGAGCTCTGTATTCACTGCACTTCATTAAAAAAAAAATCTGTTAAAGATGGTCTCCAAAAGCAAAGTGTCCAGATATTAGCATTACTCATGATGGCTTCACCCATATCCTCCATTTTTTTAGAAGTGCCATCTCTGTGCAAATTCAGTCATTAACAAATACAATGTTGAGCTGCATGCATGACAAGATCAATAGGGAGATTTCTTCCTGTTTACTTGAGGGACTGTATGGTTATTTTCAATTTATTTTCAACTTGTCATGGTTCTTGATCCCAAATATAAACAATCTGTCCTTCAATTATTTATTATACAGTTTTGATTATCTTTATGCCTGTGTTTCTTCTGCAGGTAGCTGAATGTCCTTTCATCTTTAACCTTAGCCTGAATGTATCTGACTATCAGCTAAGAGCAGGTGATATTGTTTCCGAGGGCAACGAGCTCTTTAAGCTCACAGTGGAAGCAGAATCCAACCACAGCTCTGAAAATCTCAAAGACTGCGTCTGCAGAATGAAGGACTGTGACAATGAGCTGCTTTTTGACATCCCTGGTGGGACAACAAACCAAACGTGTCGGGTTTCATTTAGCATCTCAGCAGAGTCAGATGTGACTGCCTGTCTTCTGGTGAATGCAACACCAAAGCACAGAAGCAGCAGCTGCACCGCAGGGGCCGAAGCAACAGTGGTTTTGCTTTTCAACCGCAGCGGGACTGTTGTGATTCAGCTGCGAGCTGAAAATCAGGTGTCTTTTCAGAGCAAATGTGTGAGAATGTGTGTCAGGGGGAAAAGGAAGTTACAAGCCAAAAATATTTCAGCTTGGAAACCACCAGCTCAGAGTGAGGAGGAAATAGGTAAGAAGTGCAACTCTTGTTTTGAGAGTTTGAGAGTTTTTCTGCATTCACCAAAGAACTATGATTTATTTTCCCCCCTCAGTTGTTAGGATTTATGCAGAGCAGCAAGTGTATCCCACAAATAAAGACATAACTTTCCTGGCTGTCAGTGACATACCAGATCCTGTAGAGTTCTTCTGGGACTTTGGAGACTCCAAATGGGCCAGAACCTCATTAAGGTCCATAATTAAAAGATATCACAACCCTGGCAGGTAGGAGTCACATATAAGATATTCTAATTGCAATATGAATATCATATCATATTTAATGCACTGCTTTGCATTGTATATTTCAAATCTTACTGGGCTGGATCACATCATTTTGTATCATATTGTGTAGCATTACATCATGCCATTTAAGATTGCATTGGATGGCTGCATTCCATTGTATCTTATTGTATTGTATTAATGAAAATAATTAATTATATAATTGAATTTTATTTATTGGACATTGGAGAAATTTACCTCTGCACTGGAAAAAAAATCTAGATAAGTTATTTCTGTCCTTAAATTAGGTGCATTTGTTCTTTGATTGAGGAGGTAAAAGAGACAACCAATGAAACAAGACAATTTACACTTAAAATAAGAAAACACAATTGCATTGTTTTATTTGAAGTGTATATTATCTAATTGTTTTATTTTAAGTGTAAAAATACTCATTCAATTGGCAAACTATCTCAGTACCTACTTAAATTAAGGGTAATAACACCACATTTAAGAAATTTCTAGTTATTTCTGGATAGTTTTTCCAATGTGCATTTAACCCTTCCCTAGCAGTCTGTGGGGTTGAACTCAGAACCCCAGGATTCCAAGCTCTATGCCCTAACCACTAGGCTGCCACTGCCCTAGTATTACTGTCTAATTAAGGAAAATTAATCACTTTTACTCGTAAAATAATTTTCATTACTTTTGCTGGCACAGTATTCAGCATTGCTCTCTATCTATAATTTTAATCACCCTGTCTTCACCTAGTTACAAAGTGATGGTTGCTGCCTCTTGGGGTCAGATGACTGTCACCTCGGACCCGTTTTCCATCGAGATCCAGAGAGTGGTGAAGCTCAGCAGGTTGGTTCACCAGACCTCAGTCCTACAAAATCAGACTCTTATAATAACATGCAGAGTCAGTGTGGGGACCAACATGACCTTCATGTGGAGCTTCGGAGACGGAATAACCAGAACCGGACTGAGCACGACACATCATATCTACCACAGGTTAACTCACACCATTTTCACACAGGCCTTTTGCAGAGCTTGTTTTCCCTCCCAGGAAATTATAAGTATTGTTGTTATGTTCCAACAGGTTAGGAGAGTTTCTGGTCAAAGTGACTGCATCTAATCTCATTAGTTCTGCTTCTTTGAGCAGCCACGTCTTTGTTGTCGACAGGCCTTGTCAGCCTCCACCAGTCAAAAACATGGGTCCACTCAAACTTCAAGTACCAGCTGTTTACACTCTATCATGCTGAAATAATATTTTATAGGTCAGTAACAAATAAACTAAACCTAATTATTGTGCTAAGTTTCAGAGGCATGAAGTTATCCATCTGGGGGTGACGTTTGATACAAACATGGACACATCAGAAGGCCTTCACTATACCTGGACTTTATTTGGCTCTGGAGGCCAGATCATTCCGTTGCCTCATATAGATACACAGGGACAAAGTCTCACTCTACAAAGCCATCTCCTCCAATATGACACCTACACAGCCATAGCAAGGGTAAGTTTGGACAAAACCTATTATAGACTCAATCATCATCTGGTTTCAAAATAGTGATAGTGCTGTTATTGAGGAATAGAGGGGGAAAAAAAGACATCTAAACAGTCCAAAACTTTTAGTAAAAGTTTCCTATCCTATAGTTATAGAACTGAGTATCTCTGATTTGTACTTGTGGTGTTTTTGGTCTTCTGCAGGTTGGGGTTATTGGCAGTGTGGTGTACAGTAACTACACAGTGACTTTACAAGTAAAGCCAAGCCCTCTGGTGGCATTTATCCAAGGTGGAACCAATGTCTTTATTCGTACGAAAGACAATAATATGATCACCATGGATGGGCAGAAATCCTATGATCCAGACTACCCTGACGTCCCACTCAGGTACAAACTTTGATCCACGTCGGACACTTTAAAAGGAATTATATTGGACAATACAATGACATAATATTAATATTAGTGTTTTTGTATTATTGTTGCAACATTTGGTAGATTATAAAAACTAGTACAAGTCCATACAAAGTAAAAGCATACATTTACTACCCATCAGTGTAGTATCTGCCAGTGGATCACAACCAGAGAGTTTTGGGAGAAGTCCAAAAAATTCTGTAGCGTGATCATCCCAACTCAGAGTTGAATTATATAATGTTGTTCTCAAATGTAACAGTAATGATGGATGAGCATATGTTATGCTGCAAGTTACCAGAAGAACTCTACAGGATCTAGTATGTTTGATGTTCCTAACAGAGCACTTCACTCTCAATCTGCAGGTTTACTAGTGGTTCCTAGAATTTCTAAAAGTAGAATGGGAGGCAGATATTTTAGTTATCAGGCTCCTCTAGTGTGGAATCAACCATCAGTTTTAGTCTGTGAGGCAGACACCCTGTCTACTTTTAGGGGTAGGTTTAAAACTTTCCTTTTTGATAAAGCTTATAGTTAGAGTGGCTCAGGTTATCCTGAGCATCTCTATAGTTATGCTGCTATAGGCTTAGACTGCTGGAGGACATAGGGTTCCCCTTTTTCTTAATTTTGCTTCATTCTATCTCTATTCTCCCACTGCATAATTTGTTAGTTCAATCTGAAATGTGATGGTCTCTCTGCTTTTTCTTATAGTAGCTTCGTCTGATCTGTTCCTGGGACACCATCCTGGGGAGAAATATCAGCTGTACTGCTGCAATTAACGCATTTATTTATGTTATATTGGAGTTTGGCCTGTTTTTCAGTGTAGTCCTGGTTCTCTGACTCAGACTAACTGGATGCGCTCTCTTTCATACTGACATGTGAGCTGGCTCTGAGATTGTCTACCTGGCTGTGTGTTTCCTGGACAGGGCTGCCGGTGGAGCAGGATGACAGTTACCTTTTGTATCTTTACTTCTTTTTCTATTTTTGCTTCTGTCTCCTTGAACCCCAGTCAGCCTTGACAGATGGCCGCTCACACTGAGCCTGGTTCTGCTGGAGGTTTTCTTTCCGTTAAAAGGGAGTTTTTCCTCTCCACTGTCGCTACAAGCATGCTTAGTGTGATGGATTAAACTTCAAGTCAATGAGTCGATGCAATCAACTGGTTTTCCATACATAAAAAACTTTGAATCAGTTTGACTTTATGATCTGGTTGAATTGTCTCTGTAAAGGGCCTTGAGATGAGATGTTTTGTGAATTGGTGCTATATAAATAAACTGAGTTGAATTGATGATACGCAGTGGCTGTGATAAGTAAAAGCTATGTCTGCACCAGGGAAGAATTCACCTCCACAGCAAACTAAATGCTTGGAGCAGCTCCTACTTATGGTAGCTTAAACTTCTGATTCATTTAGCAAAATAATATTTAGCTTCTTCAAACACCTATATATCACTGAAGCCTTAAACAAGATGGTTAATGTATCCTCAAGTACGTAAAAACAATGAAATCAAGGGCAATGATGTTAAATTTCAAAGAAATCCCGACTCGTAAAATGTTTAATAATGTTTCCGTATATGACTACCTGGAGTCGTACGCTCTCTTCTCATTATTTTTTTCTCTCTTTAGCTACAGCTGGACATGTAAACCAATGTCAATCATCACCAGCTCCTGTTTCAACCAGGACATTCCCACTTCATCTTCTGTGCTGAAATTTCCTACCAGTTCCTTGAAGCCTAGGTTCGACCAGTTCCATTTCACGCTAACCGTCCACAGCAGAGGGCGCTCAGCTTCATCAGAGACTTTCCTCACAGTAACCCCACACCTTACAGGGTAATTAGTCTTCTTGAAATAAAGATACATTCCCATAGAGGCACAATACCGATTGTTGAACTGGATTAAATACATTTAAACCAGTATTAGGTGAAGCAATTATGTGGTTATTATCAATGACCCAAATATGTTGTATACAGGAAGGTCTCTGTTCTCTGCTATCAGTGCCAGGGAGATCGTGTAAACTGGGATCAGTCGTTTTCGGTCAGCGCTCTTTGTGAGGACTGTAACATCCCCAGTAAACTCTTCCAGTTCACATGGAGCCTTTACCTTGTCAACACTTCATCCAAGCCCCTTGTAGAGGGTAAGAAAAGATAAATTAGTTCACCATGTTGTTATGTTTGAATGAACTCAGTGTCAAAAAATGTATTCACTTGAATTTTTCTTTCCCAGTCCCATTTTGTCACACAGTGGAGATCAGTCCCCCGGCGGCAATTCTGGAGAATCCCACAACATCCACCCAGACTCCTGAGTCGACGTCCCTTCAGTTTCAGCCCCAGGATTTATATCTGGGTGATTGGGGGTCAACATCGGAAGAAAGTGGAGATAAACCACATCAGTTTGGTGAGTTAGTTAAAGGCAGAATTAACACAAAATATCATCCGAGATAAAAATCTAACTGCCGTGTTTCTTCCCATTTTTAGATTCAAGTTCTGAGTCTTCATATACATCTGTTTTTGACCAGGACACTAGAATATTCTTAGACAGAAACAGCCTTAAAGGCATTTCTAGTGAGTTTCCCGGTGAGTCCTCAACAGACTGGAAACATGCTCTTCCTTTAATGGAAGACAAGCCTGTAGCTGGTCAACCAGGTAAATAATGTCAAAGCAGAATCTTCTAATATTAGTTGTTTTTTTTTACAAACTGCTCGGCTTTTGCACTATTAAGGTATTACAGTTCACAGGCTCATGCTAAAGCCACGTCTAAACCCCATTTTTATTTCCCTGTAGTATATTTATCATGCTGTCTGATAGTATTATTACAGAAAACATACCATTTTAAAGGGGATGCAGTGTGGGTTCTACACAACTTGTAAAAAGTTGACCCAAAGTTTTATCAGTATTTTATAGTAGGCTTTGCAAAAAGAAAAAAAATCTGTTCATCAAAATCTTATGTTTATCTTATATATTTATAAATGCACTTGTGACAGCTTATAAATTGTCTTCGCACATCATTGCTTAAAAAACAAAAACAAGTTGAACCAAAGGTTTGACCATCTGAAGTCAAATGACTTAATCTTGTAATGCTGCAGAATGTTTTTCACTGTATACATTGATAAATGGTGATGATATTTTTTTTTAAAATACACATGTATACAATAAATAATTGTACATAACGTAACAGGAAAAAAAAAACAGTCTGAAAAGGGTGTATTGCTAAAAGGAATAAGCTCATAATGCCATCACTCCAAAACTAAGTAACATTGGACTAGTAAAAAGGAAAAAAAGGTGGCTACATTTTATAATACATCCCAAAATATGGTCTTAAGAAAATAATTATTCTACAGTAGAATTTTTTAAAAAGGTAGTAAAGCCAATATCTTGCTGCTATTAATGACATTCACATAGTTTATAATGTGGGAGACTAGTAGTCACTGTCAGTAACTGAGAATCAGTACTTTTCCTGTTGACATACTGTGATCTATTCTCTAAATAACACTTGATCCAAGAAAGCGCCACACCTTTAATTCCATATCTACACATTCTTTTAAGTAATAACTCATGATTGGCAGTATCAAAAGCTTTAGTTAAATAACTATTAGACCTTGCATTTACTTTAGGTATAGTGCAGTTTGCTGCTAAAAACTTTTTTTCTGGAGGTCTGGTTTTCTGAGGTTAGCCAAATTAAAATCAAGAAAAGCCACCTCATAATGCAACAGTAGATGCTCTCGCTGTGTTTTTTTTCTGTAAGTGTAATGCCTCCTCTATCATTTTTATAAATCATTATCTCACATGCTGTGTTGAGCCAAATCATCTGTTTAGGCTACATGTTTAGCTTGTTCTGCACAGAAACAGAACATCTGTCTTGGACAGATGGAATAAGATAATATTAAAGTAATCTGAGAAAACATATTTGTTTTAAAAGTATATTTTAACTGGATCAATAAAATTGTTAAACCTTTATAGTTTGCTAAACCTAAATAGACACAGAAAAAAATATCAACTGTAACTTCCAAATGGGATTTTTTTTTCATTGTTGCTGATTGGGTTTATGTTCTCTAAATGACTCCTTGTCAGAAAACCAAAAGCATCTATAACTGAGACACATCCTATAACCTTCTGTTGTGTTGGATGTAAAAGGTAAATATATATATTTGATAAGTTTGAGAAAAAACAAGTTGTTGCTTATTTATTTACATGAAAGGTCTTATTATTTTAGAATAGTGTCTTTAAGTTTTCTTTCTTTGGCTTAAAAAAACTAAATGTTAGTAATATCAAAAATGTAAGTTTTGTTGCACAAAAATATGATAAAATATGCTATTATGTTATGTCATTTTTTCTTTTTGGTTATGTTTTGTAATTTTATGCTGGATTACATGCTCCTCATGCCACCTTTTTGCTTGGAAAGTTATGAGGCTTTTTCTTTTCTTTTTTTACCTTAAAAAAGACAAATCCATAGCAGAGTCTGATGATTATGCTGTTCTTTATCCAAACGTGGAGGAAGGAGATTCAGCGACTTCAGCAGGAAGACCTAATGGTAATAAAAGCTAAAACAAACACACGTCTCTCTCACTGCTTTTTTTATTGTTTGTACAATATAGTTGTTTATTCAGTCACTGATGATCATTAGGGGTCGACGCTGAGAGCTACGGTCCAAGTGACGACTCCAAGTCAGAACGCAAAGATGAGGGAAATTACTTGATGGATCCCAAACCTTCAGTGCTGATTCAGGAGCCCACTTTGCTGGACTTACACCGCGATGCAGTAGACAGAGACCTGTTTGAGTCCTACACCTACACAGGTGAAACATCTAGAAATGAAGAAAGTAACTCTCTTTCTGAATTTTTAAATATTGCATCTTTTAAACTATTTATTTTCTCTTAGGAATCTCCTCAAGTTTGTTGAGATTCAGACCCTTCAGTCTAAAGCCAAGAAGCATCTACATGTTGCAGGTTATTGCCAGTGAGTTTTAACACACGTTAAAGAATAACAGAGGATAGAGGTTTTTTTCATATCATTAGTCTTATTAAATACATATTTCAATATTTCTTTTTTTTTCCTAGAGTCTCAAAATACTTTGGTGGGTCGGACTCAGCTCTTTCTAAAAACCAACCCTGTCCCAGGCGGCATGACGTGCCAGGTTCAGCCGGTTGATGGGATGGAGCTATACACAACCTTCAGCATCTTCTGTACCTCAGGGCAGGAGGTGTGAACTTATATATTAAACTCTTTATTTGACAAAATGCTTCATAAATGAAATCCACTTGCTCTTTATGTTGTGGTTTTTATTTGTATATAACAGGACTTAGAGTATAAGTACAGCTTCAGTGTAGGAAGCAGACCCCCCAGGATGCTCTACCAGGGAAGAGACTTCCAGTACTACTTCAGCCTCCCATCAGGTGACCCCAGCAATGACTATGAAGGTGAACATTAGCCACAGACACTAAGGAATTAGCATATATCAAACTTGCTTTTTCCGATTTCTTTCTACTTCTTCGATGTAATTAACTGGTTTACTGTTGGTTTGTTTGTTTTTAGTAAAAATCTATACCCAAATCCGATGCAGCAGCACTGGCTCAGCCACCAAACCATGTCCTGTGACGGTACGAGTCAGACCCAGCTTCCTCAGGAACACTTCCTCCTCTTCATCAGACGATCGTCATGATCCCGCCCTGAAGCTGTAAGAGAGTCCATAAGTTTCAGTCTTAAGCTAAAATAATTTAAAACTGCTTTGTTTTTTGGAAGAAACAATATTTTTTACCCATGTTAGAATCTTTGATTTAAAAAAATGAAATTATTAATATTTTATAAAAAGATTTAGATAATTTTCACATTTTTTGTCTAAGTGGTGCTATCCACTACAACCAATCCCTGTAAACGTGCAGTCCCTTTGCTGCAGCAGAAGTCTAACATGTCATATGACCTTTTTCTGCCCCCAGCTCAGAGAGTCTGAGGACCGTGTCCACTCTGATGCAGCTTGGGAATCCAGTGGAGATCCTTAACTATATCAGCCTCCTGACCAGCATCCTAAACAGACTGAGCCAGGATGCTGAGGCTACCACACAGGCACAAAGGCACACTCGCAATGTGCTTATCTGCACATTATGCCAGCTTAAAGGCAGTGACCAGGTACATACACACATTTAATGAAGTTTCTGTTGGGTCTACAACAGTTTTCTGATGATATAAATGTTATTTTAATTTTAGCTAATGATGGCTGACAGCATCTCTGTTCTGAATGAGCTTTTACAATTTCAAAATCAGGTGAGAGGATGAATGGCTGGAAGGGAGTCGTTCGTTATCTAAGATACTATCCTGAGTAAAAACAACATTTCCTGTTTTTTATTTTCTTTAGGTGACATTATCGAGTGTCAGACATGTAGCCTCACAAGTTCGATCTGTTTCAAAGAAGTTTCCTGAGTTTACTGCCAAGGAGGAGAGGCTCCACAGTCTGATCAACTTGCTGTCATACTGCCTCCAGGTGGTCACAGGTTGTAGTTGCACACCTGAAAAACCAGATAATTCTAACAATACTCATGTATCAGGGCCAGGATCATCAACAAAACCACAAAAAAAGGATTGTGAAGAAGGATCTGATTGCAGTGAACCAAACAAGTCCACCGTTTCTACACTGGAACATGGAGAAGCAGGTCCAGCAGAGCCACTGGCACAGCTTGTGGAGGAGATTCTGCTGACTGCAGCAGACTTGATGCTGGTTTGTTCATTAATGTTTCTTCAGATTTTAACTGTTTAAATCAAATTTTCACTGGGATTCATTATGTTTAATTTATTTCCAGAGGTTCCTTCTGTCCAATGAGGCAAAGGTACACAAAGTTAAAGCTGGCCCTATGACTTTGCTTGTTTCAACCCAAAACCAATCCTCCACAATCATCCAGGGTGGCTTCACCACCATCCACATGCCAGCTGCTCCGATCCGGAGGTTGTTTGCTCATCACACCAAAGGGGTTCGGCTGAGAGAGCAGCAACCCTGCGTCCTCAGAGTGATGACTGAGCTCAGCCACAACTATCATCTCAAAGACTCATGTCCAGAAGTTAAAACAGGGAGGGATTTTATTCCCACCTCCCTTTTCCAGCTGACTGGACCAGTGGTGTATCTTAGTCTGTTCAGGTGCAGCACCAGACGAAAACTCCATATTCATTCCCTATCTCAGCCAATAAACATTAAGCTACAACTTCCACAAAGAAACGTAAGTCATCTGTTTTATACTCTATTTTATTTTAATTTTAAATGTGAAGATCTCTGTTTCTAAAAAGAACATTTCATATCTAAACATTTAAAACTCTTTAGAAATCTAATTTAACCATCTTCCTACTGTAGGAGAGCTCTCCCAGTCAGTACATCCTCCTGAGCCGCCAGATCAACTACCACAACTTCACCATCAGCCAGCAGCTCTTACAGCGGTCCATTCAGGTGACTGTGGTGTTTACGCCACTGCCCAGTAAGCCTTTTCCCATCATGCTTCTGTTCAGGTAAACTTTTTGCTTACAATATTAAGAATCCAAACAGTGCCAAGCTGCAGAATTTGCATCCTATTATGTTTATCAGAATCATTAAATCTGTATGATACTAACTAACTAACTAAACAGCTTTAATAATAGGAAAGTCCAGACATACTCAGATTTTTCCCCTCTTTCTCTTCAGGGGTTTCAGTTTCACCCACATTGGTTAAATCTTGCACCATTTTTTAGTGTAAAAAAGTGATATCTCAGTCAGTTTGCTTAGAGAACATTTTTGTTGATTATTTTTCAAGTCTTGTCAGAGCTTCCCAGTTGGATTTAGATCTGGAGCTTACCTGAACCATTGTAACAAACAACCCTGTTCCGTTCTGAGCCATACTGGGCTATACTGTCCTGCTCAATGGTCAACCTTCACTCCACTCTTCAGTCCTCTCTAGTCTCCTGTTTTCTTCCAAGACTGCATTATATAAAATAAATAGCAAATATTATAGAAATTATCACTATTCCTGCTCAAGACAAGTACCTGAGCATGATGCTGCCACTACCTTGCCTTGCAATAGGGAATCTTGCTTTTGCCCCCCCCACACACACACACACCTGAGCTTCTCCTTCTGCATGTTTGCTTCAATTCTTTCAGATATATCAATTTTTTTAGCCACTCTTCTGTTAAGATCCTGAAATATTCTACATTTGAAAATAAAAAAACAATGAGCCCCACGACGCATCCATGACAACCAGTTAGAGTTTCTAAAGATAACCTAGGAACACAGAGAAATACATTAGATAAAGGCCTTCTGTAGCAGACCGTTGGGCAGCCTGCTTAAGACTGCTTACTTCCTCTTATGACATCATAAGGGGAATGCCTTTCAAACAGAGCATTTTGAGCAAACATTACCTGAGAGGTAGAGAAAGGCAGTAAGAGAGGGGAAAGTTTTTTAATTTTTTTATTAGTGAACCTCATACACTGATTTTGCATAATATGGGACCTTTAATTTCAGATTTGTAGAACTAATAGCTGTCTTACTATCAAACTACAGAAAATGAATATAGATTAATACCATGCTTAATATTAAAACTAACCTATATTTCCCTCCACTTCATAACTATACAATACACAGTAATGGTCTATCACCTCAAATTCAGACAAAATATATTGAATATTGGTCATAAACTGTAATGAGTTTAATAAATAATATGAGGCTAAATCCTGATCGTTGGTCGTCTCAGGATGTTTGAGAGGCCAACTCCCAGTATGCACCATCTGCAAAGGATTCACCGATGGGAGCACAGCACCATACGCTTAACTCTTCCCCCTTCCTACCTTAATGGTAAGAGATTCTTTTCTCTGCATCCTTTTTCTTTATCTATTGTTTCGTATGATCAATAGATCTCATTATTTCAAACATCATATCAGATAAGATTAAGCCAGTCAAAATCTAGTTTGTAAAAAAGAAGAATGAGTTCTTTGCTACAGTTTGTTCTAATGTTCTGGTTCCAAAAGTGACCTCTGAGTTATGCTCATCTCAGACAACTTTCCCTTGATTGTTTGTGTTTAACTTTGGGTTAAATAAAAACAGGAAAACATACAACTGTTAGAAAGACTCCTAATAAACAGACTGTGCTACATTTCTATTCTGCTTGCTCTTCTGGATAGCACAGTCTGTGTGATCACAAAAGTTGTAGAAACACACAATTTTCTAGAGTAAGAAAAAGAAATAATCTTGCAAAAAAAAAAAATAACCCAGCAACATCCTTAGCTGCAGGTGTTGCCCATATTGCGCTGCTTGATGCTAATTTTGGAAGATTATCCAAGAGCAATCTACAAAGCCAAGAGATAAGCTACAGTGTGACAGTGGACAGCAGTCTGTGTTTGTCCTGGGATGGACAGCAGAGGGCCTGGACGCACCATGATTGCAGGACATACCAAACAGACATGTCTTCCGCTGTTAACTGCAGGTAAATCATAGAATGTATGTGGCCAGACCTGCAGAAAATCAAACATATCGACAAGGCATAAAACATGATTTTTGTGTTGTTTTATCCAGTTGCTATGGGCTGAGGCCAATGACCGTCTTTCAGCAGCAGATTCAGAGCAGCCAGGACAGTGGTGATCTGGATCCCTTCCTAAGGTGACCTTCTCCCTCATTTTCACTTCAATTTCACCTTAGACAGAACCCATTTTTATACTTTTTGGATTTCAATTTCAAACTTTTCCACACACCCCTACAACTAGGGGCTCATCTTTTATTTTAAACATATGTTTACACTAAATTCTGAACATGCTATCTTCTGCTTTTTATCTTTCAGTGCCTCCAGCAATGTCACTGTTCTCAGTATTCTGGTTATCCTCCTGGTCCTGTACATCCTAGGGCTGGTCTGGTCCAAAAGAGCTGACATTATGTCTAAGGAGAATCAAAGGGTCCACTTCCTTTCCGACAACAACCCGGAAGACCCCTACCTCTATGCTGTTTGCATACACACTGGTCTCTACTCTGCAGCCCATATGACTGCAAAAGTAGGCCTATCCATGTTCATGGGCTTTGATCTTACTAGCAAGCACATACGCTTTTTTCATTAATGCTAAAAGACAATAGTTTGATTACAGTTTGTTTTTCTGTGAGATTAATTTTCCCCCTTTTTCCATAAAGAAATGTCTCCAGATTGTTCTTAATTAATATAGCATGTATTTGCACATCTGGTGGAGCTTTAAAAGAAGAAACAGAAGTATCCACCTCCAGAAAATCAGTCAAAATGCAAAATCTATTTGATTCAAGTATAAATGTAATTAAGTTTGATTCTGAATTCAGTTTGGAATTTTTTTTCATGTCTGGAAGGTTTACATTGCTCTGTATGGGGAAGATGGATTCTCACAAACAAAAGAGCTTCAAAACCCAGGGTGCACTCTGTTTAGAAGAAACACTAAAGACACCTTTATATTGAGGTAAGAAATCAGCCTTCGTGTTTTCTCTGCAACATGTCAATTTTTTCCCCATATATAAATATAGTTAATCTGCTGATGTTTTAATACAACTTCGTCTTTGGTCTCTGCAGTGCCACAGAGAGCCTGGGCCCAGTGTGGGGGGTTCACATCTGGCATGACAACTCCGGACTTTCTCCAGACTGGTACCTCAAAGAAGTGGTGGTGTCTGAGGTTGAAAATAAAACTTTTTCTTTCACACTGTCCTTAAATTGTTTTCAGTCTGACCATAAAGCTGGATGGTTTAATTGCTTATCCTCTAGGTAAAAAGAGCGCCGGCGGAGGCGCGCTCATGGCAGTTTGTCAGTGAGTGCTGGCTTGCTGTCAACAAAGTTGATGGCCAAGTGGAGAGGATGCTTCGTGTCTGCTCTCAAGAAATACATTTTGCTAAGGTGCAAAAACTGGATCCAGGCATAAATCCTATGTTATCTAAGCCTCAGTTTGACTCTCTGTCTCCATATTCACTCTTGCAGAAGGTTTTACTGCGGTTTTGCGACTACTTGGCGGATTTCCACATGTGGCTTAGTGTGTACAGCTGTCCCAGTTCCAGCTCTTTCACACACACTCAGAGACTCAACGTTTGCCTGCTTCTCATCCTGGGTTATGCATGTGCAAACAGTGTAATCGTATCGCAAATAGATGTTCAGGTGAGTGAGTGACACGACTATAAAACCTTGAAATATGGGCATAGTTTGGCACCTTGTGGCATTATTTACACACTTTCATTTTTTGAATGCTGCTATCATCAAACCAACCAGCATTATTTTCCCTGCTGATCAGAAACATTGCAACAGCATGATACTGTCCCCCCATGTTTTACCATAGGGATTGTGTGTTCATGGTAAAATCTTAGCTAAATACTGTCAGAGCTACATACTGCAAGGTTATATTTATAACATGCACTTCTGGTCTCTTAATGTCCCTGTTACAGTTGCCATTTGAGGTGGGCATCGTCGATCTGTCGGATGTTTCTTTGACCACCGGACTGCTAAGTGTGATGGTTGCATTACCCGTTGCAACACTGATATCTTTACTGTTTCGACTGACGGGATGTGGAGTTCAACATGCATATCACATAAAAACAGCACAGGGGGATTTTCAGGGTTAGCTTTAATTCAACTGTTCACTTCCATCAACTTTAGTTGCTTCATTTGTTTTTAAGGATGCTTTTAGAATAAAACCTTTTTTTGTGTCTTGAAACCTTTTTAGGGAATGATAGTGAGTTAGACTACCAATCATCTTGGGTACAGAGAGCCTTAAGGAACAAATACCAGGTAGATTTTTAAGCCATTCTTTTTTTTATTCACCATTTTCTCTTTCAAAGTCATATGATTACTGTCTGAACCTTGTTTTTGCTGCAGGGTACAGATATCTTACATTCCTCCATTCATGAAAACAAAGACACAGAGGGAGAATCTACAATCCATGCAAACAGGGCTGTCAGAAATTATGATCATCTGGTATTTGAAGGCAATAAAGGGCAGGTGCTCCACAAACTGCTACTTACTTCAAATGGGCAATATTTTGACCACACAACTGAAGAAAGGACTGAAATACCTGAGAGTAGGCGGTTTGATCAACCTGTCCGTAACAAGCTGAGACTGCCATTGTTTTGGTGCCGCTATGCGGCCTGGGTGCTGTGTCTGCTGTTGTCTCTCGCATGCTTAGTGGTCACAGCTGGGCATGGAATGAGGTAGTGTCATAACTTAAGCATTTTTCAAAAAGAACAAAACATTATAGCCATCGATGTACTAACAATATGTATAAATATATATATTTCCATCAGATTCAGCAGCAGCAGGGTTCTGCTGTGGATACAGTCACTTTGTGTTTCTCTCATGGGCTGCGTGTTCCTCATCCAACCAGTTCTAGTAATAATAACCACACAAAAATTAGAAAATAAAAATGTAACCAAGCTTTTTTCTCATTCCTCATTAATAATACCATGTCTTCATTATTCTGCAGATTTTTGCTTTGGCAATGATTGTCTCCTTTTGGTTCACCAAAGCAGCAGATAGATCTGTAGGAAAGTTACCAATAGAGACAAACCTGTGGAGCCTGAATCCTGCTGATGGACCAGGAGAAAAATTCACATCTGCTTTCTATGGGAAGAATTCTCCATCTGTGGAAACGGTAAAAAAACAAGTTTAATACCCTGTGCAATAACCTGTTTTTTATATTTGATACCCAGTGCAACATTTATATATATATATATATATATATATATATATATATATATATATATATTAATATCCATCTATATAAATACCCATGTTAATACCCTGTGCAATAACACTGTATGATAATCCTGCTAAATAAGAGACTTCAGCTGTCATATATATGTGGAAACACTGTATACTATATATATCCCCATGCACCCTTTCCTTCCTATTGTAACAAGTACATTTCTCCACTGAGAGATCAATAAAGTCAATCAATCAAGACTCTTAGTCCGATCTCCTACATAATTTATCTTAATAGAACATTTTTAAACTAAAGTTGTTGGAGAATAGATATGGATGCTGTAGGCCTAGTGGTTAAAGCAGTGCGCTTGTGCTCTGAGAAGGTTGCAAGTACCTGGTTCGATCCCCACAGCCTGCACTCTGGGTCTCTGAGCAAGATCCTTAACCCCACACTGCCCCCTGGGCACCGCAAAATGACAGCCCACTGCTCCCCAAGGGGATGGGTCAAATGCAGAGGTAAATTTCTCCAATGTGATACCAATTAGTGATGGGCTATCTGAAGCCAGGCTTCGAGGCTTGTACCGAGTAATAAGGGGGCGTGTCAATGAAGCCCCGCTTCGAGGCCTGTGTTGTCTTGTTGAAAACCACGTGACTGGCAACAAACGAGGCCTCGCATTGCATTGGTCACGTGACTGCTTCATTTTGCGTGTCGGTTTTCAAAATAAAAGCGCGATGAATCCTGTTGCTTTGTGGGTTGTAGTAGGTGGTTTGGTCTCAGCAGAACAGTTTTCATCAGCAGTGGTTGTAATGGAGCTGTCAAAAAAGAGAAAAACCTCTCATATGTGGGAGTATTATGAGATGACAGATCACAATCACAACCTGAAACAGTGAAAAAAGTCATATTCCTAAATAAAAACAATTAAACCTAAAATCCAGAAATTTCTATATTTTCTTTTGTTTAATCAGGAGATGCATCAGAATCACACATCAAAACCAGACTAAAAGCCATTAGAAGAGGCAAACTCTATGTGTAACTTGATATTAAGAATCAGAACTAGAACTCCTAGGAAGAGATGATTTTAAACAAATTCTGTCTTTAAGGAAGCAAGTTTCAAGCTCAAAGTACACAGAGTCTGCAGCAACAGTCACTCAGTTCTCAATACATTAAAGTAACACATATCTTCATTGTCTAATAAGTCCATGTCATAAAAGAAAACCTAACACCACCACTGATGGTCAAGGATTAGATTGGCTACAAATCATTTTAATCATTAAAACATGACAATTGAATAGGATTCTCCTCTTACTAAACATGAGTTTGATGAAAACTTTGTGACAATATTGCATTTCCTAATATTTGGAAGTATGATCCAACTGAGTAACAAGGCTGTTACAGTTTCACCAGCAGATGTCACTAGTGAGTGATGAATGAAGCATCGAGTAATGAACTTTTTTCAACACTTTGCGTTGGAAAGCTTCATTGCTTCATGAGGCTTCACTTGCCCATCACTAATACCAATTGTCATGGTCTTGGTTCTGCTGTTCTTTACTTTGCTCCTTGTTTTCTAGATTTATTGGTTTAATTCCAGTTTTGTTGTAATTTCTAGATTTATATTAGTTCTCATGTTTTTCTGTTGTCCTCTATTGCCCTCTTGTGTGTGTATGTTCCTTTCACCTTGGCTCCCTCGTTGTCTCCTCTCACACCTGTTCCTTGTCAGCTCGTTAGCCCCCCCTTTGTCTCTCTCTGCTATATATGCTCTCCCTCTGCTCTCACTCTTTGTTGGTTCCTTGTATTTGCTGTCTTCCCATGTTGTGGTCTATGTTCCTCGTCTCTCCCTGGCTCCTCGTGTTTGGTTTTCCCCAGATGTCTCCTCAGTTCTGGTTTGCCTTTCATTATTAATTGGATTTTTGGATTCCTGCCTTTGTTTACTGATTTGCCCCATTAAAACTCCCAGAAATCTCCTCAGCCTCTGCCTCTGCATTTGGGTCCTCCAAACCACAACCAAACCCTGACACCAATAAAGTTCAATTATTATTATATTTGTCTTCACGTCAGTGTTGGGTTGAAGTTTGAGGACCCAAATGCAGAGGTGAGTTCTTGCAGTTTTGAGTGTTCACAGGTAACAGAGGAAGGAATCCAAAAATCCAATTTAAAAATGTAAAACAAACCAGAACTATGGAGACATGAGGGAAAACAAGCACAAGGAGCCAGGGAAAGATGAGAAACCAGCACTGAGGAAATGCACAGGGAGAGTGTTTATGGCTGATTGAACAAAAGGCAGGACTAACGAGCTCACTGGGAGCAGGTGTGGACAGAGGCTTCTAGAAAGGAGCTAGGGAAAAGAAAACCAACACAAGAGGGCAACAAAGAGCAACAAAGAAAAGCCTAAGAACTCAAACACATCCAAAAACATAACAAAATAGGAATCAAACAAATAAAACTAGAATACAAAGAAAAACATGAATCAACATAAAACTAAAAACTCCAAGAAAACTTAACAGAACCATGACCATGACACTTTAGCCCCACCCCCCCCTGATGTCATGTTTAAATTATACTGAGATATTCCCCTGCTGTTAGGCTTCATTCCTCTTCCCGCAACATGGACGTGTGTGTTATAAGAGGTACTTTTCATCAAGCATTAATGTCCTATTCCCTTGCTTCCTCAGCTGCTCAGGGCGAGGCAGAGAGCTCGGTACCTGCGTCTCATGCACCCGCCGACTCAAGCAGAAGTGAGGAAAACTCGTGGAAAGAGAAGGAGAGATGCCCAAATCCAGGAAACACTCCGGTTTGTCTTTGTTTTTTTATATATTGGAGAATATATAAGAGATTTGCAAAAAGATTTCACACTTTATTTTGTCCTGCAGGGATTTGTTTTTCTGCACCATCATGCTTCTCCTGATGGTGTGTATAATCTCTGGCAGCTCCCAGAACGAGCATCAGAGTCTCAACAAAGCCATAAAAAGACGCTTTATAAGGTAAGACACAGACATCTCATAGATGCAACACAGATAGAGCTCATAAACATAGAATTAAACAGATATTTTCTTTCGACAGGAACAATTACTCCTTTACCTCTATAAAAACACATGAGGACTGGTGGAGGTGGACACAGTCCAGTCTGCTGGATTTCTTGTACCAGAATTCATCAGCAAGAAAGGAGGTGAGCAAAAAGATATTAATTTGCATCGAGTCTGTAAAATATACATACAGCGTCTGCTGTTTTTCCTTTTATGCTTAATTAGCAAATAATCATCAATAAAAGAAATAACAGATGATATTTTTTTTTCAATGAAGCATTTTCTATGTTAAATTAGATTATTTTTCCAGCAGCCTCACGTTGTAATTGGAGAGCCCATTATAGAGAAGAGAGAAATCCTCAACGTGTTTAAGGTAAGTTAAAGGAAACACAGATGATATCTAGGCTAAGATAAAAGATCTGGAATTAAGAAACTAATTTATGAACATATCTGTGAGGTCATGCTGCGGATTTTTTCTGTAGAGATCCAAGGAAAGCTTAGATAAATAAATGTGATGTGAGAAACCTCAAACAGAGCCAATGTTGGAGACTAACATGTTTCAATTTGTTCTTAACAAAATCCCTTATATTAACTGATTTATGAATCAATGAACTTGTTCATTGTATTAATACATTCAGCCTTTCCAACGGCTAATTGCATGTCAGAAATTTGACCCAGCTGTGGCTTTGAGTGATATTTATATAAAGTTTTTATTTACTGCTAATTAAGTTGGCAGATTACATTTATGCCTGAGAGAATATTTTAAACAAACATTATAATCTGTCAATATAAACTTTTTAAAAAGAAGCATTTTTGAAGAACTTTGGGTTCTGACGATAATAAAGGTTATCTGTAAATATAGAATTTGATTAACTACAAATCCATGATGTCATATATTCTCTGTTTTTCAAATAAAATGCCTTATTTGTGTTTGTTTAGCCACAAATAGCCCCCCAAAAAATCATTACAAAAAAGAAGGGTGGAGATGCAAATCTAATTTGCATTAGAAGATTTGGGAATCTTAGATCTATGCGATCAATTCAGCAAGATTCTGAATCTAGAATGATTACAAACATTTAATCATCTTTGCTGTAAAATATTTAATATAGCTTTTGAAAAAAAAAGTTTAATGTAGTTACACAGTTAAGCTTTTTTAAATGCTAACTACTCCTGTACAACACTCACCCTCACATTTAAAATGTCCCAGAATGCTATGCTGACAGCTCCTTGGACATGTGATCATCTCTGTTCATGGAAAACTGCAACAGTCAGATTTGGCCACACAAAGTGAGACTTATTCAATCCAAATATGTCACACTAATAATGCTGATGTTTTGACTTTGTTGTTAAATGTTTGCTGGACTTTTCTGCAGGTTCGAAGCTGCATTAAACCTGAAGAGCTTGTATTCAAGCACCTGGATCAATAGGCAGACAGTGGCCGTAAAGGTTCAGTTTACCTTGTATAGCCCTGCACCTCACTTATTTAGCAGTGTGACCCTGACCACTGAGCAGATCCCTGGTGGTGTTCTGTTGCACTCTGTCAAGGTCCAGTCAGTCAGGCTGTTTTATTCTCCTACTCTATGGGACTATGTGACTTTGTTCTGCAAGGTAAAGGTCTCATTTTACCCTGATTTAAATCAACCCGAGGAACTCTACAGAATGAAGCATCTAATCTTTTCTCTTTTTCACCACCAGCTTCTCTTCCTGTTTTTATCTCTAATACAATCCTGCAATCAAGTTTCCAATATTGCACAACAAGGACTGACTGGATGCTGGAGGAGTCCCTGCATGTGGCTGGATGTGAGTCAACCAAATCCTCCTTCGTATCTGCATAGATTGAAAATATCAAACAGGGAGTCACACCCATTTCACCCACTAAGACTTCAATGTACGGAAGCCCTGATAGGCAAGTGAGGAAAAAAAAGAAAAGTTCATTTTTTTTTTTTTTTTTGCTGTTTGAAGGTCTGCAGTTTTGCCCATTTTTCCCTACCTGCCTTTCCGAGCAGGAAAAAAAACAAACAACCCAAAAAAACAACTATTTATTTTTCTTACTTGCCTTTCAGGGTTTCTATACTAGTGCTTGTAGGACCAAGGTGTCTTTACGAAAACGATAAAGGTATAGTGGAGGCTGTTCTTTTTTCGGGTCTGGCATAGTGGGAAAAATTGCAAGTCTTCTTTTGGAAAGTAAGCTTGTATGAATGATGCAAACAGCAACTTTTAAACAGAGCGTGCACAAGGAGAAATGGGCTTGTGCTTGCTCTCGCACGCGTTTAATAGGCCTTCCCTCTCGACTTGTGCTTGTGCATTTTTTTTTAAGTGGAGAGGGCAGGTATTTTCAAAACTTCGCCAAAATCCTCCACTATACCACTACCTGCAATAATCAAACTGTCAAGTGAGTTTATATCAGAATGTTTTGATAAAATAAGGAAAAAAGATTTATTAAAGTTCAAAGCATAAAATAATTCTTCAGTGCTTTGCTGTGTCTCTCCTCTGCAGGTTGGTCTGCTGGCAGTGACTCTAATCTGTAATGTTTGTTATATCTGTCGCTCCACCATGACCATGGAAGTTGTAAATTTGCTGCAGACACAACATAGAGGGCATGTTGATGTTAGCGCTGTGGCTAACTGGGAACAGGTGAGAGACCAAAACAAATGATAGCAGTGAGATTTTTACAGCATTGCAGAAACATGTCATACAGGTTCCCCTAAAATAAAATATCTTTTTCAGAATATTCGGACATTTCTGGGTGTTATCATCTTCCTCCTGACCATGAAGTGTGTGGCCTTTCTTAGAATGAGCAGAACCTTCAGTTCCTCAGCTGCAGTGCTTTCACAGATGCTCTCCAGCCTCTTATGGCCTATGGTAAACACATTATTCTCGATAGTAACACAGTTACATATGGTTCTTATCCCCATTTGAAGTGATTTTATTTGTTATCAAAAATGTTAGAGAACTTTGTTTTGAAATTAAAATTTCTTTATTGAAAACTAATTCCCTATTTTCCTGTAAGGTTTCAGGTCTGATCCTTCTGCTGGCGTTTTCCTGCACTGGGTATTTGTTGTATGCAGAAAGCTCCTTCAGCTCTGTTCCCCCTTCCCTGCAGACTCTGCTTTGTCATTACCGCTGGCCCCGCGTCACAAAGAGTCCACTTAACTCAAAGTGGGGTTTAACTCACTGGGCGGTTCTGTTTCTAACAACTACTGCTGTGTGGGCAGCAATGGTACATATTTCCCTTTTAGATTTCGGTGTCATTAATAACACGTGTAATCAGTTAACAACAGCCTTATTAAAAGCATAGTTTAAAAGATTATGTGAGATATATAAAAATGATTGTCCCTTTACAGTCATCTGTTTTTCTTACAGATACTTGGGGCCTTTTCCTTATTGGTGAAGAGAGCTAAAAGATCCCAGAGCAGGAACGTTAGTTTTTCCACAGGAGATATTTTATGCTACATGAGAAGGAGGGTGTCTGAATTCACTGGACGGCAAAGACAAGCAAGGAAAGCAGACAAAAGAAGGGTAGGGGGAAATGTTTAGCTGGAAAATGCATATTTAAGTTTTTATTGATAAAGAAGTAAATCATATAACAAAGACACAAAAACGGATTTCATTTTCATCACATGTATAGTATTGTACCAGAGTCCTTTCCTCATTAATAGCATGAAAGAATGGCATAAAGAGAGGCAGAAAGTAAAGCAATAAATGGCCTAGGACAACATTCAAACCTCCATCCTTAATCTATGGTGCCCCTGCTCTTCTACTGAGGCACACAGAACCCAGTTTCCGTACTATATATTCCTCTTTTCATATAAAAGGCTAAAATATTCCTAAGAAATATCATCTGAGGACACAGTGCATGCATATCGAGTTGATATAAAGAAATATTTCTGCAGGATATTAGACAGATTCAAAGTAATTCCAGCTTGGATCTTGATGTAAAACAATACAATAAGATCAGCTTTTAACAGGAACAAACCTGTAGAACCTGCAGAATCAGGCTGCAGTTGAACCTGAATGGGATTTTTATTTACAAATCTGATTGTTTGGAGTGTGCTTTGGTGGCGCAGTGGTTAGCCATGACCCATGTACAGTATGGAGGCCTTAATCCTCCTTAGCATGGAGGAGGACTACTGTCCATGAAAAAAATGAGCCACTAGTGCTGTAAAAACTCAAATAATAATAAAAAAAAACCCAAAACTGATTATTATAAGATCCCTTGCACCCCAGCCACAAACTATTTCACTTCCCTCTGACAGGAGGCTGTGGACCAAAACCTTACACCACCGCTACAGCCTTATCAACAAGAGAGACCCCCATGACACTGCCACTATCCCTCCTGCGTTTAGGACCTAGAAACTACACAACGTAGCATCTCCAGACCTTCTGCGTTACATTAACACACAGTCTACTGTGTATATAGTTTATGGCTATATACTATAAACAATATGCTGTATGTTTTATATTGTATATAGCTATAGATTCTGTATACTGTATATATATATAATTGCTCTGCACCATCAACACCAAGTCAAATTCTTTGTAAGTGCAAGCCTACTTGGCAATAAAATGGATTCTGATTCTGACCAAATTCCCTATAGCTTTTACATATATATGCTTATTTCATTTAGGGATTCTTGAATCAGCTGGATCTCTAGACTGCTAGGAGCGGAGGACCTGTTTATACTTATACTGATTTTTTTTGGTTTTTAGCTTTGCAAAAACCAAAAAAGTTGCTTTGCAACCTCGAGAGTGTAAAATTAATGCATACATTACTAATGAGAGAAACCAGTGCAATATCTCAGACTGCAGATAAAGCAGAGCTTTAATATAACCGCCATTTCTAGAAGCCTTTCATATGTATGATAAAAATCATAATATAACTTTTTTTTCAGATTTTTGTCCTTGATGAGCTGGAGAGTTCAGTAGATGAACTCTTGTCGAAACTCAACGTCCTTTCTAACAGCATGCACCGCACTCACAGAGCTCACTGCTACAGAGAGGAGGACACTCCTGTCATCTCAGCCTCGCCACAGTCTTCCATCATGGACACACAGGTGAGGCTGAAATTTCAGTCATACAAACATTCACATCGTAACACTGAATGTCATGGGACAATTAAATACAACTTTCTTCTAATCAATTTCATTAAAAGCAGACAAGTTTTAGTTATAAAATACATTTAATTAACTGACTATAAACAAGTTTGAGAAACTTGTTAAAAGTAGATATTTTAGCAGTTTACTGGACCGAACCACGTGTGTAAACACAAGAATAAGATAAAAGGATATTGTTTTCTAAGTTTATCTTTCTACAGACAGAAATACAGTCCAACCCCCATTGACCTTGTTCAGCATGTTAAAGTGTGTATATTTAAAGCCGGATAAAAACTGAACAAGAATGACTAGTATTGAGAAATTAGCAATAAAATGTTTGGTTCCACAGCTAAAGCTACGAAGGATGATTACTGAAAAACGGCAGCAAATCTAAACTAGAATGATGTATTGCAATGGCTAAGTCAAATTCAGTGTTAGAAGTATTAGACATTGAAGTCACGGTTTGTTTGGAGGTTTTTGTGAGGACCCAAATGCAGAGGTTGAGAGGCAGGGGTGAGTTCTTTGAAGATTTAATGGGATAACACAGGTAGCAAACAGGTGTCCAAAAATCCAACATAAAAATAAAACACAAACCAGAACCATGGAGACATCAGGGGAAAACCATCACAAGGAGCCAGGGTGAGACAAAGTAAGACAAGGAACCAGCACAGAGGGACTGCAGAGGGAGTGTATTTATGGCTGACTGAACAAAGGCAGGACTAACGAACTGATAAGGAGCAGGTGTTAGCAGAGCTGACGAGGAAATCAAGGGAAAAGGAAACACAAGGGGGCAACAGAGGACAAGGAAAGAAAAACCTAAGAAACTTAAATAAATCCAGAACACATCAATAAAGCTAGAAAACAAAGAAAAACGTGAAACTGAAAACTTAGAGAAAACCAACAGAACCAAGATCGTTACAATTGAGGGAGATTTGCAGAATTAATTGTAGGGCAGCAGAAATGAACTGAAGACAATAGTGAAGAAGTGTGATGGAAGATACTGTAAAAGGTAATCTTTTATTGTCCCTCAATTGGGAAATTCACTTTCTGCATTTAACCCATCCCCTTAGGGAGCAGTGGGCTACCATTGTGCAGTACTCGGGGGGGCAGTCTGGGATTAAGGGTCTTGCTCAGGGACCCAGAGTGGCAGTCTGTGGGAGTGTGTGTGGCTTGAACTCTGAACAATTTGGACCCAAGCGCAATGTTCTAACCACTAGACCATCACTGGCCCTTAAAATGATTAAACTATGGGATGTTTTTTTTACGATTGAGGTTATGCCCCCCGTTTGTTGCTGTAGTGAGAAGATTGCTTTTAAGTCGCTAACCACTTCTAAGCAATTTATGACTCTGTTAGGGATGTCTGAGGTCGGAGATGACGGGGGGAAATTCGAAGACAGGGAATAAAGCAACTAATGAATCACAGGAAAGAACGACCTCACCTGGATCTCACCTGTTCAAGTAAGAGAATATGACTCAAATTCTACTTTTAATGCATTTCAACAACTAAATATCATCTATATCCCCACCAGATGCAAGGCTGTAACCAGGATCCAAACCCTTTCAGAGGAAGCAAATGATTTGTTAAAAATAAAAAACTGGCTGTCTTCCTCAGAGTCAACATCCCTCGTTGGGTTTTGGACTGAAGATATGTGTGAGAATCAACCTGAACTACAAGGTGGAACAAACAGTAGCTGCTGGTTTAATACAACTAAATCCAAGGTGGTGGAGGTTCTGGTCCATAAGGAGCCAGGAACAGGAGAACTATAGTGCATTATTTTTCTTGTTTTATTGTAAGCAAGTTCTATCTTTAGAGATTAACCTTGGCCGGATTTTTTTTCAGTGATGTATTCTAGGTAAATAAAATAAATGAAATACTACAGCTTTTGAATAAACTAGATTCTGAAACAGTGGAGTTTCTCATACCTGTTATTATGGCTTCAGGGGACTTTCTTAAAGGAAGCAAACATAAAGTTGATGCTGAATGTTTATGATGTGATGAATCTGAATTTTGTGAGTCTTTTACATGTTTAAATGATCAAATGGAGTCAATGTAACAAATGCATGGTAAAGCATCTGTTAGTGCTGCATAAATGTTTCATTTCCTCTCTTGGGGTCTTTCTATATGGAATTTTCACGATTTATGGGTTCTGCAACATGACTGCAAGGTTAATATGTTTCTCTAAAATGTCCCTTCAGCAGAAAAATATTAATTTTTGTATCATTGAGTTACCACACGCGCCCGTTTTCTTCTCACCTGTATTTTTACTCTTGAGATCACCCAGCTCACTTTGGTGGATGTTCAGTTTGTTGTTTTCCCAACAGTGAGTAAGTAATACAGCACATCCAGCTTAAATAAATAGCATTGGATGATATTTCTTTCTTACTTGCATTCAGTAACTACTTTGCCTCTGATTTGCTGAGATCTATTAATCTCTTTAAACACTTTAATGAACTTTTACTTTTAGCACAAATATTAAAATGATAACAGATTTATAGGTAAGATGATTTATGCATTATTATTGAGCCTGTATTGAGTCTGTAGTTAGTCAATCAGTTCTGATTTGGTGATGTTTCACTGGGAATTTCTTTTATTCAATTCACTTTATTTATATAGTGCCAATTCACCACACGTCATCTCAAGGAGCCTATAACTGATACAGAGTTAACGGGTGAATGAAATACAAACATTATCTGTAGGGGGAATTGCTCTGCTCCATTTTAAGCAATTATGTCAGCTGTGATTTTTGCATGGTTCACTGTCTATAACCAAGGCACATCAAGAGTCACACTAGGTTTTAATTACTCATAGAAAAAAAAAAGTAGTTGAGGAAAATAATTTAGAGACACAATATATGAGCATTCATGAGCCCTTTGGGTGAAAATAAATATACAGGTGCTGGTCATAAAATTAGAATATCATGAAAAAGTAGATTGATTTCAGTAATTCCATTTAAAAAGTGAAACTTGTATATTATATTCATACATTACATACAAACTCATATATTTCAGATGTTTATTTTGTTTAATTTTGATGATTACAAATGACAACAAATGAAAATCTCAAATTCATCATATCAGAAAATTAGAATATTGTGAAAAGGTTCAAAATTGATGGCCCCTGGTGCCACACTCTAATCAGCTAATTAACTCAAACCACCTGCAAAAGCCTTTAAATGGTCTTTCAGTCTAGTTCTATAGGCTACACAATCATGGGGAAGACTGCTGACTTGACAGTTGTCCAAAAGACGACCATCGACACCTTGCACAAGGAGGGCAAGACACAAAAGGTCATCGCTAAAGAGGCTGGCTGTTCACAGAGCTCAGTGTCCAAGCACATTAATAGAGAGGCGAAGGGAAGGAAAAGATGTGGTCGAAAAAAGTGTACAAGCAAGAGAGATAACTGCACCCTGGAGAGGATTGTGAAACAAAACCCATTCAAAAATGTGGGGGAGATTCACAAAGAGTGGACTGCAGCTGGAGTGAGTGCTTCAAGAACCACCACACACAGACGTATGAAAGACATGGGTTTCTGCTGTCGCATTCCTTGTGTCAAGCCACTCTTGAACCACAGACAGCGTCAGAAGCGTCTTGCCTGGGCTAAAGAGAAACAGGACTGGACTGCTGGTGAGTGGTCCAAAGTCATGTTCTCTGATGAAAGTAAATTTTGCATTTCCTTTGGAAATCAAGGTCCCAGAGTCTGGAGGAAAAGAAGAGAGGCACTTCATCCACGTTGCTTGAAGTCCAGTGTAAAGTTTCCACAGTCAGTGATGGTTTGGGGTGCCATGTCATCTGCTGGTGTTGGTCCATTGTGTTTTCTGAGGTCCAGGGTCAACGCAGCCACATACCAGGAAGTTTTAGAGCACTTCATGCTTCCTGCAGCTGACCAACTTTTTGGAGATGCAGATTTCATTTTCCAACAGGACTTGGCACCTGCACACAGTGCCAAAGCTACCAGTACCTGGTTGAAGGACCATGGTATCCCTGTTCTTAATTGGCCAGCAAACTCTCCTGACCTTAACCCCATAGAAAATCTATGGGGTATTGTGAAGAAGAAGATGCAATACACCAGACCCAACAATTCAGAAGAGCTAAAAGCCACTATTAGAGCAACCTGGGCTATCATAACACCTGAGCAGTGCCACAGACTGATCGACTCCATGCCACGCCGCATTGCTGCAGTAATACAGGCCAAAGGAGGCCCAACTAAATACTGAGTGCTGTACATGCTCATACTTTTCATGTTCATACTTTTCAGTTGGCCAACATTTCTATAAATCCTTTGTTTTTATTGGTCTTCAGTAATATTCTAATTTTCTGATATGATGAATTTGAGATTTTCATTTGTTGTCATTTGTAATCATCAAAATTAAACAAAATAAACATCTGAAATATATGAGTTTGTATGTAATGTATGAATATAATATACAAGTTTCACTTTTTAAATGGAATTACTGAAATCAATCTACTTTTTCATGATATTCTAATTTTATGACCAGCACCTGTACATACTCCAATTTACCTCTCTGGTTAGGGGTTGTCACACTTAACTATTTTTTTATATGATGCCATCCAGTCCTATTGATGGTGAAACGATGATCCCAGTCTTTTAGAGATTTCTGGAGCAGCTACAGCTCAGCCATGTAGAGCTGTCTCAATCACAGCTGATGTTTAAAGGTCCTAAGTTGAAATAAAACCGTCTTAATAAACTACTACTTTCTGGTACACTTGTGGACAGTGTTGGGAAAGTTCTCTTTCTACGTGAACTAGTTCAAAGTTCAGTTCACACATTTTAAAATGAACTAGTTCAGTTCATAGTTCATAATTCAAAATTTTGAACTAAGTTGACAGTTCCAAAAAATGAACTAGTTCATAGTTCTTTTTTTTTTTTTTTTTTTTCATATATTGCTCAATTATACGGAGCCCCTCGGATGACATGGTCAAAAAAAAAATCGAGCGCGCCTTCTCTACGCTCTAAGGCGCGCTTGATTTGCTTACCCAGTTGTCCAGGAATTATATTTTTATTAATAAGTATTTCGTGCGCACGTTAAACTTATTGCGTGGCCACAGAGTAGTATTTCGTGCGCACGAAATACTACTTCGTGGCCACAATTAAAAATTTTTTTTGACCATGTCATCAGAGGGGCTCCGTACAATTACACCATAGCCTACTGTAGAACCACAGACAGCAATTATTTTATCAGTTGTAACACTGAAACTGTGCGTCAGATTTCATCTTCATATCCAGTTTTGAATCCTTATCCAACCAGGGTTTACATTAGCATTGAGGGGACAGATTTCCCCATTGTTGCTTTAATGCTTTGTTGCTGTCCATTCACTTCACACTTGTAGCAGCTGCAGCTTTCACCCCTACAGTATATTCTCAAAAACATCAGGAAAAATGTGCTGCTTGAATGGTCTTTTTTATGAGGAATTATTAAAAGAAAAACAGGAAAGTAGTCTTTAAGGTGCAAATGTTTTTTTTTTTTATTATTATTTTTTCATTTGAAATTCCATTTCAGTACATACTAAAAAGGAATGCTGGAATCCTGGAAAATTATACCAGGCAGGTTTAACTAACAAGTTACATGAATAGTTAAACCCTCAAGAACATTTTACTAATACAAACTGAGGGACCAGGCTGAGGTAGGAATTTAAGGTTACTGAAGTGCTGATTTTTTTACTGAAAGCCGGCGGGCAAAGTTTGCAGAGAAATGTAAGATTGTTGCCATCATCCTCACCGACCACCTGGTCATAAAACTGTTTCAAGTGATCATACTGCTGCTTTTTCGCATCCACGGTCGTCTCCATGCTGCTGTGGCTTCCACGCTGCATTTTGTTTTGATGACGCACGCGGCTGTAGGCTACGACACTGGTAGCTGGTGTTGCCAGATTGGGTGTTTTTCCCGCTACATATTAAGGCCTGTTTACGGTGTGATTTAGCCGGGGTTTCGCCTGGAGGGCTCTATAGAAATCTGGCAACCTATTGAATGGAGTTGAACTGAGAGAGCGTGCCGTTCACAGACACCAGAATGAACAAGTTCACAATAACGTTCATCAGGCAGTAATGCCGTACGTTCAGTTCATGTTCGCCCAAAATACGAACGAGTTCATGAACTTTCGTTGAATGAACGCGTTCAGGCACAACACTGCTTGTGGATACTAAACAAATAATGATAAGCACATAGTACATACAATACCATAGTTTATGCAAAGGAGCCGGGTTCTGCTCCTTACATGTAATTTAAAAGACACTACAAAAGAAGCTAGTTTGCTAGCACAGGTAAAGAAGATCTGCCATCTTGTGGCTAGACTCTGCATCCGCGTTTTATGTTTTCCACTGGTAATGACAAAGTCTGGCTTCCCAAAATTTGTGTAAAATGGGTTTTAAAGGCTAATGAAAACCTGAAATTCCATTGCACCTGAATCGCAATCATTTTTTTTTTTAAAAGAGGTCCAATGGTGAAACCACTTTGGGTAAAATTCTTCACTGATGAGAGCTAGGGCACATGCATTTAAGCCCAATGCAGAAATAAGTGACCAAATTATTGTAATTTAATTGGCTAAAAGCCGCTTGACTCTATCTAGGGCCAATTGGTTTGGCCTGACTCATCAAAAGCTACGTTCACACTGCAGGCCTTAACGCTCAATTCAATTCCAATGTGTTTGTGAAATCCAATTCCTACCAACTACCAGTTTTAGTCCGTGAGGCAGACACCCTGTCTACTTTTAAGGGTAGGCCTAAAACTTTCCTTTTTGATAAAGCTTATAGTTAGAGCGACACAGGTTATCCTGATCTATCTCTATAGTTATGCTGCTATAGGCTTAGACTTCTGAAGGACATAGGGACCCCTATTTCATCATTTTGCTTCATTCTATCTCTATTCTTCCACCCTGCAGAATGTTAGTTTAATCTCTAACATTATGATCTCTCTGCCTTTTCTCATAGTAGCTTCGCCCCATCTGTTCCTGTAGTCAGCCTCGGCAGATGGCCGCTCACACTGATCCTGGTTCTGCTGTAGGTTTCTTCCTGTTAAAAGGGAATTTTTCCTCTCCACTGTCGCTACAAGCATGCTTAGTGTGAGGGATTGCCTTCCAGTCAATGAGTCGATGAAATCAACCGCACTTTTGTCTTCCCAGACTTCACCAGCTGTGCTCCCATAGGACTCCATCTCTGTGCACAGTTGGCTTCATCTCAGCCCTTTGGCTTTGATTTACAATTTAAAGCCGGTCTGAATCTCTGTGATATGTGGAGCCTGCCTTTTCAGGGATATTATATCGCTATAAATATAAAATCATAATTTTTTATCATTATCAATAATTTCATATTTGTTATTTGTTACATCTATAGCTCAGCTACCTGTGCAGTAACCCTATAATCTCTGGGGAAGGCTGTGTAACCTTTTAATCTAAGCTTGACCAACACTATCAAAAATAAATAAAAGACCAATAGCACCTGCTTTATTCTCATTAACTTGTTTGAGGACATGCCTTCTATGTGTATAAATAGAGAAGCTGCACAAGCTCTCAAATATTGCAACACACCAACTAGAGGAGACATTTCACTATGAGAAGCTCTGCAATAGTTCGAACATTGCTGCTCTGCCAGTGGTTGAGTTGGGTTCAGAGTGAGCATGAAGGAACTAAAATGAGTGGCAGAGCCCCATTTGTAGAGGAACACCTCCAATTGGAGCCTAATAATTTTAAAACAAGCAACGTTGAAGTCAACAGACAGACCGATATTTGGGCTGAGTTAAAGGAGCTGAAAGACCTGACCATTGAGATGAAGGCTGAAATAGAGACACTGAAGCAGGAGAATTTAGGTAACGTACAGATTGACGTAAATACAGCTAACGTCACACAAATTGTTTGTTTGTTTTTCTTGTTGTTTTTTTGGGTGGGGTGCAGGTCAGTTTTTGGTCTGGCAAAAAAAAAATGAAGCATTTTTTTTTACATCAAAATTCTGCTTTTCTTTCATTTTAAGTCACTGTTTATATTCTAATAAAAGTCAGTATGTTCTTATAGCTTTAAAGACCAGATTACATCTCAGCGAATCGCAGGTAGAGGCGCTCAAACAAACAAGTGCAAGTAAGATAGTAGCATTTTTTTAATACAGTGATCTAAACTTGATGAGTTACTGTATTAGTAACGTTCTGTTTGGAAAAAAATCTAATCCGTTTGCAGATTTGGAAAACAAAATCAGCCAAAGTGAGATGGAGGATCACAAAACTAAGAGCATGGGTAAGTAAAAAAAAAAAAAAGCACACATTTACATCTAGGAATATATCTAATACAGTTTAACACAAGGCATGTACACATTCTTAACATGAACAAACCTTTTCAGTTTCCTCGACCTATAAACTGGTAGATGGTGTATTAGTTAGTAAAGTTCCCATCTTCTCAAGTGATGAATTTTAACTCTGTTGTGCCTTTTTGACTTAAGCCCTCTTTCTGCGTGTTCAGGTGAACTAAAATTGGCATTGTCAGCTGCATTTTCAAACACTGGAGCTTTTGGACCCTTTGACACTGAAGTCACTCTGAAGTTCAGTTAAATCTTCAGTAACATTGGCACAGCCTACAACCCATCTACCGGTACCAACCTTTTCACTCAGTATAATTAAGAGAAAGCAGCAATGGATGCAGATATACAGCGTTTCTTCATCCTGTTGTTTATCTTGTTGCAGGCATCTTCACAGCCCCGGTCAGAGGAACCTACTACTTCAGACTAACTGTACTTGAGCTCAGAGCCAATCATACTGTAGTGAATTCAAAACCTTGGACCCAATATTCAAAAACAGACAGATCTGGATGGTTCAAAACTAGACTTTATTTAACTCCAAGCATGGCTGCTCGTCAGCTGGGGCGGATAAACCGGGTCCTGTTTCTGAGTGGAGCTGAAGCCAGCCGAGGCCGAGGGGCAACAGAGTCCTGAAGGGAATGTCCAAAGCCGAAGTCGAAGCAGAACCAAGTTCACAGACCAGAGGATCAGAAAGCCGATGAGGTACAGAAGGGGAATCCAAGCCAATGTCAGAAAAACAGTCCAAGTTTGGTGAGCCAGGTGAATTCAGGAATCAGTCCAGAACAGAGCAGATTAAAGAGCAGACTAGGGCAAAGCAAAACTCAGGATCCACAGGACAGAAACAGGTCACAATTTAGATAATCAAAAAAGCAAACAGAGGGCTAGAGTTACTCACACAAAACAGCTTGAATATTCTGGCACTGGTAGCTGGAAAACACACAGCATATATAGGAGCTGAAAACAGGTGGATCAGATAAGCAGTAATGAGAAAAACAGACAGAGTTACACAGGTGAGTGGAATGAGCAATCAGGCCAGCCACCAGTGCCAGGATCATGACAGAACCCCCCCCCCTCAAGGGCGGATTCCAGACGCCCCAATGGGCTGATCTGGGTGATCCCTGTGGAAAGCCCTAATGAGGTCCTTATCCAAGATGAACCGGGCCGGGACCCAGGACCTCTCCTCAGGTCCATAACCCTCCCAGTCTACTAAAAACTGGAGCCCCCGGCCTCTCCGCCTAGACCTGAGAAGACGGCGGACCGTGTAGACCGGGTCTGCATCAATGAACCGGGCAGGTGGAGGTGACCCAGGTGTGGGCACAAAACCAGAGGACCTAACAGGTTTGACCCGGGATACATGGAAAGTGGGGTGAATCTTTAAGGTACGAGGGAGCTGGAGGCGGACGGCCACCGGGTTCACCACCTTAACAATAGGGAACGGCCCAATAAAGCGGGGAGCCAGCTTCTTGCTGTCGACCTTGAGAGGCAGGTCCCTAGTTGAGAGCCAAACTCTCTGACCCACCCTGTAAGTGGGTGCCGGCACCCTCTGGCGGTTGGCAGCCCTAGCTTGACCAACCAGGGCCTGAGAAATTGCTCTCCGGGCCCTTCTCCAAGCCCGTTGGCACCTAAGGGCAGAAAGGTGTGCAGAAGGGACCTTAGACTCCTTCTCCTGTATGGTGAACACCGGTGGCTGAAAACCAAAAACAACATAGAACGGAGAGAGTCCAGTGGTGCTAGAGGGAGCAGAGTTTATGGCATGCTCTACCCAAGGGAGTTGGCTGGCCCACTTAGTGGGATCAGCCTCACAGAGAATGCAGATCTTTGTCTCGATCTCCTGGTTGGCCCTCTCTGTCTGGCCATCTGTTTGGGGGTGAAAACCGGATGAGAGACTGACAGAGACCCCCAACAATGAACAGAACTCCTTCCAGAACCGAGAGACAAACTGGGGACCCCTGTCAGAAACAATGTCAGTGGGGAGACCATGGAGCCGAAAAACCTCACGGGTGAGGACCTCCCCCATTTCCTTAGCTGAGGGGAGTTTGGGCAGAGGGACCAAATGCAACATCTTAGAGAACCTGTCAATGATTGTAAGGATGACAGTATTACCCTCAGAACAAGGTAACCCAGTAACAAAGTCCATGGCAATGTGCGACCAAGGACGGGAAGGGATGGGGAGTGGCCGGAGGAGACCAGAAGGTGGTCTTTTGGATGCTTTGGATTGGTTACACTGTAAGCAGGCTGCCACGAACTCCCGCACGTCAGCAGACAGAGAAGGCCACCAAAACTGAGAACGAACAATGTAAATAGTCTTGCTTATACCAGGATGACAGAACAGATGAGAACAATGACAAAACTCAAGGACCTTCCCTCTAAGAGCATTAGGAACAAACAAACGATCAGACGGACAACCACTGGGAGGAGTTTGGTCAAGAAGGGCCTGTCTAACCTCCTCCTCTATGTTAACCATAGTTACAGCACACCTCACAGATTCAGGCAAGACATACTCCTCAGCACCACTGAGAATCTCCTCCTCCGCCTCAAACACCCTGGACAAAGCATCGGGTTTGGTATTCTTGGACCCGGGTCTGTAAGACAAAGAGAAGTTGAATCTCCCAAAAAACAGTGCCCACCTAGCCTGTCTGGGATTAAGTCTCTTGGCTGACTTGAGGTACTCCAGATTCTTGTGGTCTGTCCAGACCAGGAACGGAATACCTGAACCCTCCAGCCAGTGTCTCCATTCCTCCAAAGCCAGTTTGACTGCCAGCAGCTCTCTATCCCCGACATCATAGTTCTGCTCAGCTGCTGACAGTTTCTTGGAAAAGAAAGCACAAGGGTGGATTCTTCCATCCTCAGCCTCCTGACTGAGCACCGCCCCGACCCCGGTAACGGAAGCATCCACCTCGACAATAAACTGCCTCTTGGGGTCGGGGGACACCAGAACTGGGGCTGAGGTGAAAGCAGCCTTGAGCCTCTGAAAAGCTCGATCCGCCTGATCGGACCAGCAAAACCTGACCTTGGATGATGTGAGGGCATGAAGGGGCGCTGCCACCTGACTAAAGTTCCTAATGAACCGGCGGTAAAAATTGGCAAATCCCAAGAACCTCTGGAGCTGCCTCCTATCCTTAGGAACCGGCCAATCGGTGACGGCGCTCACCTTCAAGGGGTCCATGGAGATCTGGTCAGGGGAGACAACAAAGCCCAGAAAAGAGATAGTGCTCACGTGAAACTCACACTTCTCTGCCTTCACAAATAACTGGTTCTGGAGAAGGCGAAGCAACACTGACCTGACATGGAGCTTATGAGACTCCAAGTCCCGTGAGTAGATGAATATGTCATCTATGTAAACAAAGACAAAGTGACCAACCATGTCCCTAAGAACCTCGTTAACCAGGTTCTGAAAAACCGCCGGTGCATTGGTGAGGCCAAAAGGCATCACTAGATATTCATAGTGACCAGTCGGGGTGTTGAAAGCAGTCTTCCACTCATCACCCTCCCTGATGCGCACCAGGTGATATGCATTGCGGAGATCCAGCTTGGTAAAAACCTTAGCTCCCTGAATCTGATCAAATGCTGTGTTAATTAGGGGAATAGGATACCGATTCTTGACCGTAATGTCATTGAGACCCCTGTAATCAATGCAAGGTCTGAGGGATCCGTCCTTCTTGCCCACAAAAAAGAAGCCCGCCCCAGCAGGGGAAGAGGAAGGACGGATGATGCCAGCCCTAAGTGACTCGGAAATGTATTTCTCCATAGCTTGGGATTTAGGGGCCGACAAGGAATATAACCTACCCCTAGGTGGTGTGGAACCGGGCAGTAGATCAATCCCACAGTCAAAAGGTCTATGGGGAGGTAAGGCTTTGGCCCTGCCCTTACTGAACACCTCTCTGAGGTCAAGGTATTCATCTGGGACCTTAGAAAGATCTGGAGAAAACTCTGGATCAACAGAATAACCCAACATCCTAGACTTAGCTGATAGTAAACAGGAACCTGAACAAGCAATGGACCAACCCAAAACCTCCACCCTTTGCCAGTCAATGTGCGGGTTGTGCTTAGTAAGCCAGGTAGAACCTAATATTACAGGAATCTGAGGTGAATCAATAATAAGAAAAACTAACTGTTCAACATGGTTCCCCCCCACCACCAGCTCTACAGGTTCAGTCCTAAGAGATGACTGGTTAAGCTGATGTCCATCTAAGGCTAGTACCTGATGAGAGTCCGGTGTCGGAAAAAGCTTGATGCCGAGCTTTCTGGCCAGGTCCCCATCCATGAACTCGGTATCTGCTCCAGAATCCAAAAAGGCTGACAAACTATGGCTATGTGAGCCAACAGAAAGAGTCACAGGAAGCAGAAAGTCTGGGGAGGCAGATAGCCTGGCTCAGCTCAATAAGATCCTCCCCGGAGCCTGATCCCTTACCGAGCAGAATTTCAGCCGATGTCCCTCTCCTCCGCAGTAGAGACAGAGCCGGAGCCTGTAGCGGCGATCCCTCTCCTCCTTGGTGAGGCACGAACGTCCCAGCTGTATGGGCTTAGGACCAGAAGAGAGTAGGGGTTCCGAAGTCCTCCCACGATCCTCTGAGACTGCATTGAAGGGAAGGCGGCACGTACTAGAGGACCACTCCCTTCGACGCTCCTGTAGGCGAAGGTCGATGCGGGAAGCCAACTCCTCCAGCTCCCTAAGAGAAAGAGGATAATCACGGGTGGAGAGCTCGTCCTTGATGCTCTCTCCGAGTCCCGTGATGAAGACGTCCATCAGAGCCTCCTCATTCCAAGCACTCTCAGCAGCCAGCAGATGGAAATCGATAATGTACTCAGACACTGACCGATTCCCCTGCTTTAGAGTCAACAGTCCCCTAGAAGCTTCTCTGCTGGGAAGAACAGGGCTAAAAACTCGAAGTAGTTCCTCAGAAAAAAACCCATACGAATCACACAGGGAGGAGTTATTCTGC